TTGGAATTAATTAAAATAATAAAAGAAGTGTTGTCAATTATAGGTTATAAATAAAGATTTAACAAATTTATTACCAATGATTGTCACAAAACATCACAAAAGGAATAAGGAAAATTCGTGTATGTTTCATTCGATCAATAAATTGTTCATCCATATTAGTACGTATATAAATATCAGTGGGTGAATCATGAGAAAATTGACGTGCACGTGTTAATTTCATATTATCAGAAAAATACTTATCAATTGCGAGTATTAATAACTTGGTGAGGGGCGTGTAATTGATTATGGGGAACTGATATCTCGTCGAACTAATTATTGTAATATTAATTATTAAATATTCTGTTTACAGCTTTTTGAAAAAAAAAATAAAAAATTTTATTATTGTAACAAATACAGTAATGTTAATGTATCATATAAATTAAAACTATTATTTGAATTTTAGAATTTTTTAGGAAAAGAAAATTCTAGGAGATTCATTCGTTTAAAGAATTTACATAAAAAAATTTTTAATATTTGCAATATTTAAAAAAAAAAAATAGTGAAGAAAATTAAGACATAGGAGCATTAAATAGGTAGGTAAAATAATAAATGATCGACGGCGCGTAGCCTGGAAACGAGTTGCACAACAAACAGACACAAGATATCGTCGATATTGCCAACAAAAATCCCACGGGATTCGAAACGTATTCACCCGAAACGGAATCTATCGAAGTTTCGAACGAAATCGACCGAATAACTCTGTTCCCAACGGCGAGAAGAGTTTCTGCTTGTGGAAAATTGGATTTGCAAGATTTATCAAGACGGCCTCTTTATCGTGTATTTTTTCTATGAAAAAGATTTCCAAATAAAATAAAATAATATATAATTGGATTTAATGTAAAATATGTATTATATATCTATTTTAAAAAAATATAAAATCTGTAGAAAATAGAATTTTTACTACTCAAATATATGAATATTAGAAATATTCGTTGTAAGAAATTTCGCTTCGAAAAGCGGATATGACTAATTCAGATTTTTATCCATATTTGAATTTGAGTAATTGGATTTTAAAATTTTTTTTTTCTTTTATAATCTCTCGAGTATGAAGTTTTCCTTATATATTCGAATTCTGATTAAAAGGATCAAATTTGAGTAAATTCGTTGCAAGGTTATATTTCGATATTTGATATAGAATTAATTTAATTAATATTACACATCGATTTTAAATACTGAAGCAAATAATTTATTATTAATTCGAGTCTCAAAATTAATAAGTCATTTGCTCGAAGGAAGCTTTTAAAGAGTTTTACATTATTGAATTGGATATTTTGAATATTTTCAAACTATGCAATTTTTAACATAATATTTATTAAAATAATTTTATTAAAATAATTTTAATACAATTAAATACATAATTTAATACATATTAGTACACAAAACAATTTTATGTAGTATTTTTAAATTCGACACGCAATATAATTATTTATATGTATATTTACTTACTTGTTATCTCATCATTTTATTATAAATTAAACTTAATGAACGACTTATGCTAATAAAGTAATCAAATTTTAATTTAAAAAGCGATTGTATATAATTAGCTAATGAATTACATTAAAAATATTATTTAATCTTATTAAATATCATAATAATATATATTAAAATATTACATAAAGAATATTAAAATACAATTTTATAAATATTCTTTTATCTATCGATCCTGAAATAAATTAAAATGAATAAAATTAATATTTGATAATAATACTTAATAATAATACAAAAATTGCAAGTTCTAGAGGAAATGTTAATGCATATATATATATATCTATCTTTACATTTTTAATCAAAATATAATTAATGACAAAATTTAACATGTTTTGAAAATCATTGAAAAAAAAGTGCATGTATAATATTTTTCAATAAAATATTCGAATAAATATTCATTTTTCGATATTTCGCCTCTATATAACTAACAAAGAAACTTTTCTTTCTCGCATATTCCAACGTTTTTTAAAAA